ATTTTATATTCTTTTATATAAAATCAAAATTTATACTTTCCTAGATTGCAAAAGGCCCTAAGTGGGAATAAATGTATAAAACACTACTCTATTGCAAGGTAATTAAGATAATTTATACAGTAGTGAAACCTCTTCATTAGAAGCCAACCATCCATGACATTAATCTAGGTTTACCTCTGTATTCTGTCACTAACTCCAGACAAGTTACCTGTCTGTGCCCCAATTTCTTGACTTACAAAGTGGAGATTTTTATAAAGACCTTTCCTGCTTCTTCATGGAGTGTAGGGAAGCATTTGTTAAGATGCAGAATAGTACACAGATTTAAGATAGGCATTATTGAAAGACAAAGTGAAGATAAATATCTTTTTTGTAAGTTTCTTCATTCTACTTTATGAGAAAGAAAACTGTGAAAAATAATTAGGGAAAATTTATGCAAAATAGTAAATACGATGCTACATTCAAGGATCAATATTCAGCTAGTCTCTGGCTTCTGTATTTACTAGTGTTTGGTAATCATTGATTTTTTAAAAATAATGAAACTGGTGTCTTTCAAGACCCTGAAGGACTTCTGAATCATTGAAGACTGAATTATATTTTCTGTAATTTTACTCATAATTTTTGTTTTGTTATATTCTAATTCTTTTAAAATCCTCTTAGAGTGTTTTCTATTAACATTCTGCTATCTGGAACATTTAGTTAAGATTTCACTTCCTCGCATAAGATTTTTCAATAGCTTATTTCATTCCTACTTTGATAACTTTAATTCTTAGAAGTACATTCTCCTGTCATTTGTTACAATACCAACATGTCTTTCTTATTTTTTCTTGTCATTATTTATTACTTCCAAGTATAAAACTGGAAATAAAAGATAATGTGTCTTCATGACATTGAAGAAATTTTTTACTATGTTAAATATTTCTTAGTTTTCTAAATTTATTGTGGCAATTGTGTACATCAATATACCTGCTCAGTGTTTTTGCATATATAGTTTTGCCTTCTGAAATAAAATAAGGAAACAAAATGTTACAGTAGCATTGCTAATCATAATGCTGAACTAGCCATTCTATACATTTATTTTTCAGATTTTTGTTATATCATTATATGGCTTCATCTTTTTAATTTCTGTGAGGTTTTAGTATATCTATTTTTTCTTTTTTTTAATATAAGGCAAACGAGAATTTTGAAAGGGTAATTTACATGAATTTACTGAACACAGAGGTGAACACTGTACTTTGGGAGAGTAAATTTTTTAAAACAAGGATATATTTTAAAACTTCTGCCTGTGTTTAGGTCTATTACAATGGCTACCATGGCGACACCTCTGAGACATATTTGGTGGGCAATGTGGATGAATGTGGTAAAAAGTTAGTGGAAGTTGCCAGGAGGTGTAGAGATGAAGCAATTGCAGCTTGCAGAGCAGGGGCCCCTTTCTCTGTAATTGGAAACACAATCAGGTAAGCTTTGCACTGACAAGTAAAGGGAGGGTTGGCAAGTGGTACAAAGGTTATTGGTGGCTTGGTATAAAGTTGATGACATGTTTTCTGATTCAGAACCGTCATTTCAGTCTGATATCTGTACGTGAACCGCCAGGCTGCAATATTGTTCCCTGGGTTTAAAAAGAAAACCAAGGTTTTAAGAAAGTAAATTATACCAGGGTCAGCAAAGAAACTTATTGGCGCAGCAAACAGTATTTGTATGGCTGCTTTTGTTCTAGCTTGACATATTGGTCTGTATGTAATGTAGTTCCCTTACTCAAAAAACACACCAAATGTGGAAGAAAGTGCCTAAGAAAGGGCTGAGTAGCCTAACCCTTGAATAATGAGAAAGGAGAAAAGCTAAAATGTACAGAGGAGTGAAGTGAAACATACTCCTATGATAGAAAGATGAAAAGTGTTAACTTGGGAAGGCCTTACCTTTCAAGATAGTAAATTAGCAAATATCCTGAAAGAGTGCTCTTCTGACCTTTTTTCGTCTGATTCATTTTTCCTATAAACCACTATATATCTTCCACACAGTATTCCATGCTTGCTTTTTGAGTGTATGTGTGTTTTCTGAAAATTCATTGAGTTCTTTTTGTAGTCTGCTACCTATTTTCAGGTCCCCCCTCCTTCACTCTTTTGAAGTAGACATGCAGAATATGTGTTTTCATTTAAAAGTAACGCATTTTGTTAAAGATCATCACATCAATACTCCTTAAAGTACTATTCTCATTAATATGAACCATTGAATACTTCCCATTTGTCTAAAGGATGGAAGGCTTAGTCACCTTGAAAAGATGCTGCCTTTTTTCTTCAAACACCTTCAAATACTTTAAAGAAAAAGGCAGCAAAATATCAGTTAAATGTATTTATGGCTTTAAAAATATTGTAACAGTGTCTGAATCAAACTTTAGTAAAATCTCTTTGGGTTATATCTGAGAAGCTTTTATTGAAGACTTTGAACAAAATTGTGTTTTTGACAGTTTTAAATTATAGGCTAACTAGCCTGGGAAAAAAGGATAGTGTCTCTCTGTTCTTTCATAGGAAATGTTGAATCAGACCCCTACTGGGAAAAGAAATTTAATGCATATCTCACTATCTTACTGTCCATGAATATAATAGAAATGAATTCAAAATGCAGTTTTATTTTTGCAAATGGGATGAGTCGATAGATGCACCTCATATTTTTGAACACCTAGGGTTCAACAAATTTACTGGTGGTGCTCTTGCATTTTAACAAAATTTATTCTTCAGTAGAAGGGGGCAGAGAACACTAGATTCTTATTCAAGCATTCTATCGAGCTCTGCATTCATGGCTGTGTCTAAAGGGCATGTCAGCCTTTGATTCTCTCTGAGAGGTAATTATCCTTTTCCTGTCACGGAACAACAAATGATAGCTAACTACAGAGGCACATTTGCAGTAGTCACATTCATCAACTGCAGAAAAAAAATTCAATTTAATTGTGCAACACAGCTGCACATGGGCTTTTGAGCATTTCTGTTGTTCTCCCTGTCTCGCTATTCCTCCCTCCAGATCTATTTTTTAAACTTTTTTTCTGGTTATTTTTTCCCCTTTTTGTCTCTTCTTCCATTTTTACTCTCTGTACTTTCTTGTTAAAGTAATTTTCCTTTGTGGCTCTCATTCTTTTTTCCCCATTGAAGGCTATGAATGTAGAAAATTATCACAATTACTCATATAATTGAGCCTCTTTGTAGCAAGTGCAACTCCAGTAGCCTTTCTCCATCATGAAAATGGTTTCATTATAGGGTTTTTCATATTCTCTGACACCATCTACACAGAGGAACAGGCGTGCAGATGAGATGTACTAGGAACAGGCTAGATCAGTAAGGTCACAGTAGGAATAATTAGCTCTGCTATGGAAAGAGCATCTAGGCCTTTTACTGCTACATAAATGTACTGTCCGTGGCTTTTAGTCACAAAAAAAACTTACTAACAAATGGAGCTCCCGCCTACTACTTTGAAAAAAAGATTTGTATCAACACTACAATTTTCCATCATTAAGACTAATAACACAGAGCCTAGTATACATCAAGGGGAATAAAAAGAAAAATCTCACATTCAAGTGGTGGCTGGGTGCTGACCTTTGTTCCCTTTTTTTGTGTACGACTTAACTCTTTACAAAAAAGAGCCACACGCCACACCAACATGCAGGTGAACTCCAGCTAGTACTAGCAAAGCATAGCATTCAGTCAGAAAATCTGATAAATCTCCATGCAGGATAATGCATTTCATTACATATTCACTACATTAATTCTAGCTACATTAAAAAAAGAAGAAGATGATGATGAAGAAGAGTAGAATTGAAAATGACATTGGATTTTAGCTATCTGGATGTAAAGGTCAATTTTTGCAGAGTATGAATTTGCATGTGCAAATTTGAAAACCAGATCATTCCCAACAACTGCACATACAAAACTATATGGAAAATAACAGACAATGAACTTTTTACTTTTACCCTAATGCATTTCATTATTTAGATGGTTTATGTCTGCCGCTGGCTAGGAGACTGGCCCCGATTCTAACAAATGTTTGTTCTGATCTATTAAAGCAGTGTTTCTGGCCATCTATTATTTTGCCTTTTCTTATTCAGGCAAAATCTTAAGGGAGTAAATAAACAAATGATATCACCTTTGAGCCAAAAGTACTTAAAATCATTACAGACCAAAGGTTTCCAAACATATTTCATAGCAGTCTCATTTATTTTAAGGTATTAGCCATGTTTATATAGCCTCCCTCTACTGCGACATTCTGAAAAGAACATTCAAGCATCTTGTGTTAATACCACCCCAAAATTGAGAGCTCTACTGGAAATTTTGAAATTCTCCTCTAAAACCTAAAGAACAGGATGAAGTTTCTGAAGAAATATCAGCCAAAGTGATTTCATGAAAAAAGTTCTCTCTGTGCCCTTTTGCTTTATGAGGGGTGCCTAGTGATCTTTAGGCCATAGTGTTCGTACACTCACTGTACCTCCATTTGCTTTCAGATATTTCTAAATCTGTATTTTTATAATTATGTCTCTAGTATCTGTATGAGAGTATCATGAGTGTGTATATTCATGCATCACAAACATGACAGCTCAATCAAAAAATAACCTAATGTCATGATGGAAGTATCAATAAATGGTTTTTAATGTTTAATTCATAAGTATATGTTTTGATATTAATTTAGAACAATAATAAAGCAGATTTTTAAAAAAATAATCTCTTTCTATTAGATTATGCACATTTAAACAATAAGTGGCTCAGGCAAAATAAGTCATTTTAATGTCATCTGTGATGGATTTTTCTTGACAGCTACTGTAAATTACAATTACACTGCTTCTCTCTGCACATGAAAGTAAGCATTGCCATAAATTATCTTTTATTTCAATCCATCATGTCTGCTTTTCAGAAACAGAAAACCTCAAATAAAAGTTCAGCACTATTGTAAGAAAATACAGTAATTCGTGATCCAGTTTGAAACAAAAAAATGTACCACTCTTCTGGAAAACAGTTGTTGACATTCAAAAATATTACTAATTGTACTTAAACATTCCTATCATTAGAGGGAATCCCTGGACTTGTGCATTCCTTCATTCAAACACTAGTGCTTAAATTAAAAATCTAGAAAGATCAAGGTAAAATTCAAACATCAAATCATGTGCCATGTGAGATCTTTTATTAGAGAGATGTGACCCTTTGGAGGTTAGTGTTGCTTTACGGGATTCATATAGAAATGGTAATAAAACTATTTCCATATGCTTTTTGGTTTCACTGTAAGAGGATGTACTTAAACACAGTACTCCTCTGCCCTCTTGGGGAATGTATTTTTAGGCATAAAAGTAGTTGAAATGTATTAAGAAATTTCATTTACCCAAACAACATTTCAGTTGAGTCCAACTGCCTCATGAAAGGGAATAAACTGAAGAAAATGGTCACAAGATGAAATTCCTAAAAGAAATTTTTCTTTCAGCTATAAACTGTGACTACAATATGAAGTGTAATGATACAATATAATTGAAAAGTAAGCTCATAAACTACCTTTTTATACCTTCTTCCTCTTCTCTCTCTCCCAATAATCCATATGAAAGGCTTCAAATGATAAATGTGCTGGGCTCATCAGTAGGTGTCATACTATCTTAAAGGATTTTTAGTTAAAGGAAATCAGAGCAGAAGAGCTAATATCAGAAGAATTCTGTTCAGTGGATTTCAGCAAGAAGGAAGATTTCATTGGTGAAATGTTCAAGGCAAGAAAACCCTGGTGCTCAGAAATGGGTCGTGGCCCTGCGTTAGCTGGTGTTGGGGAGCAACTGCGGCACTTCTTGGACGCATATGCCTGCCTTGTTGTTTCCATTTCCCCCGACATCCCAGGCAAGAGGCAGATGCACATTCCAGCTTCCCATTCCACAATTAGGGTGACCAGCACTTGTTTTGGTGTTAGAGAAGTGAAATTTGCTGCTACCAGTCACTTAGATTGTGGAATCAGATTAAAACCCTGCAATCAGGTGAATAATTCTGTGCTCATGGAGTGTATCCCAAAATAGTAGAGTAGAAGGCACATGCCTTTAAACAGCAATTAGGAACATTAATGAGATTTTATCCCATTTAGCTCCAGTGAGTATATATTAAAAAATAACTACCAATCCAAAGGAAAATACCCTGAAAAGCAGAAGAAATGTATTCTTAGTTCCTGGGAAACAGGCATTGAGGTGGGTGCTCAACCAAGGAACTGAGGGAAACTTGTCTGGTTTGTTTCCTCTTTTTTTCAGCCGTAAAAACCCTCTAACCTTTGCATCCGTGACACACAGATGCTGTGATACTGCTATAGCCAAAAGTTCCAGCAGGACCCAGGGAGCAAATTGTAGGAGAATGCACTCAGATGTCTTTAGCCACCTAGTAATTGTATAGCTTCTTTTATGAAGAGGAATGAGAGGTATGACAGGGAGGGACCCTGAGGGTTTCTTCAGAGTGGGCTTTCTTCCTCTCCTCTCATCAGAAATTAAAATGGAGATTGCCATTGTAACGCACATTCAAGATGTAGCTGTGACGCCTGCCAATCAGTTGGATCCTTGGGAAAAAAATTTAAAAAGAAAACTAGTTTTTTCATTTTAAGGAAAGAAAATAAGAGAATAATTTATATTGAATCCTTTTAGAATCACTGAGGTTTGTTATGACTGAATTAAGATAATTTACAGTTCTAGATAGAACCCATTCTTGTTTTTCAAAAAACTGGATTATAATCTCTTAGTCCTCTCTCTTCTGCCCTCTGTCCACGCTCCACCCGTTTCTATTCAAAAATTATGTGGAACAAATAGAAATGCCTTGGAAAGGATGTTATACCTCCTGCCTAGAGTGCAAAGACCCACTGAAATAGCCCTAACCAAAATTATAACCGAAGAGATAAAAAACGTAGACTTATTTTTGTCCTCAGCATATGCATGGCTTACCTATTTTTGTACCATCAATGACATCGAAATTAAATTTCAATAGAAGCTGCCATCTGCTTGATACAGTGACATCCTGGTCTAAGTGAAAAAGTCTTGGAAATCTAGGAGGGTAATTAAAAATGTTCAGAAATTGTACATAGACACAAATGTCCACAAAGATGCTAACTAAAAGGGCTTTATGTTAAACTAAAGCTACAGTCTGGTGGAAACTATAGTTTGAAAGTTAAAAATTTTGAATTTGTTAGGAATTGCAATAATTCTATGAATTCCAATACATTGTTATGGGTAGCATTAGGGATATCGTGCCTTTTGTCCATGTGAAAATATAAATCTAGCCAGGCATGGCAGCACATTCCTGTAATCCCAGCACTCTGAAAGACTGAGGTAGGAAGATCACACATTTGAGCTCAACCTAAGAAACTTGGCAAGGCTGTCTCAAAATTTAAAAAAAAGAAAAAGAAATTTAAAAGGGTGGGATGTAGCTCAGTGCAAAGGTCCTGGGTTTGATCCCCAATACTCCTATGGCCCCCACCACCACCAAGTTCAGCCTTGTGGGTAAAGATTTTAGGATTGATTCTTTGTGGTAGGTTTCATTTATAGGGGATAGATGGAACCCAAAACATGTACTTGTAAAAGTAACTAACAAAGTGTTAAGAATTGGAAATCACAGTGCTACTTCTCTTAAGCATAATAGCGATTAAAAAATAATTCTGTGTGAATTTTGTTAATGGGGCGGGTCTTGAGTAGAACTCCAAAATGCTCACAAAGTTTGGAGTATTTCAAGAAAATTGACAAAACAGACATCATCTCTTTTTGTGTCTGTAAAATATATAACATTTTGAAATAGAACAGAATAAAGGACACCATAATGGAAAGTCATTTCTAGATTGTAATTTTCTTCTGTTTAGCTTCTAAATCAGTGGGAATTTACACAGTAAATTTATCCATACAACCACAAAAGCCAGTTAGGTTTTTATGACCTACACTATATGCACATATATCTTAGTTATGTATATTAATCTATATTTATGTGTATTCATATTCATCTCTTAATGACCTTGTTTGAAATCTATGCTAAAGTAAATGACTCAAACTATTATGTTATATACATACCTTCTTTTTTCATATATCTAAAGGGAGTTGTTTCAAGCATCAGCAAAAATTTAAATCATTCCAGCATAAAGAAAACAGTAATGTTTTGTTTTGTTTTGTTTTTTGGTACTAGGGATCGAACTCAGGAGCTTGTGCTTGCGAGGCAGGCACAGTGGCACTGAGCTAAACCCCCAGCCCCAAGTAATGTTTTAAAAAAAGCAAAAGAAAACAGCAATATTATCATCTGGCTCTAAATAGAACTGATATTTTTTCAGAGAATATTTCAAAGTGACTTCCTTTTTATCTAGGATGCATTAAAATTTTATCTAATTTAGTTAAATATCTTTTGTCACTTTTAAAGCCATATAACTCATCAGAATGGTTTCCAAGTCTGTCCACATTTCGTGGGACATGGAATAGGATCTTACTTTCACGGACATCCAGAAATTTGGCATCATGGTAAGAAAGTTAATTTGGAAGCTATCAGGGTAATGCAAGTAGTTTTGCCCCTGAAGGTTTTTCCTCTTGCCTGAATCCACATTGTGTGTGTGTGTGTGTGTGTGTGTGTGTGTGTAATATCTACTTAATTTTAACCAGCACATTACTGTGTTACTAAATTAGAGCCTTGCAGTTTCAATCCCCAAATAAGGGTTTTTTTGCTGTTTGTTTTCTCCTAAAGGGTCCATGGCTGGAAGGCATAAGGGATATTTGTCTAGAAAAAGTTACTGAAAACAAAATGCCACTGCATCAGTGTCCCAGCAGCGTGCACATATGACTGTTTTCTGTTTTTCTTTTTCTATCCCCTCTTCTAACCACTGACTGTTGTGGTTAAACTTCATTACATCCTACATAGTGTTGACAGCTGATGTATTTAGCACATGTACTCACTCTTTAGTGATGTCTTGATTATGCCCACCCTTGTGTTCCTTCCCTGGAGTTTGCTGTTTTTCCGCTGCCTGGATGTGCATTCTGCAGTGAGAAGGCAGGAGTGGGCCCAAAGGGGTAGGAGGATTTGGGTGAAAGTAGGAAGCAGCTGTATGGAGGAGCCCCAGAGCAGTGCACATTTGGACTGGGACCAAAGGAAAGTTGGTCCTCGGGCCTCAACATATACACTTGAGAGTAAGATTGATCCCTAGAGGAACTACTGCCTGTAACCTATGGCCCGTGGGTCCCTAGGGACCCAGCTGGACAGAACCCTTTCAGACCGAAGAGCTCCACTTTAGGCAGCTCAGAAGAGGTCCAAGGTGAGAATGCAGAAAGGGCTGGTCACCAGAGCTGTGTCCCGCCCAGTGCCCATCCCTGGAGTTGAGGATGGAGACCCCATCTCCTGCCCCATTCTGCATATCTATAGGCTGCCTTCTCTTTTCATCCTTCCCTGAGATTTCTTTCTCTTTAAGGTAGGGATGGGGGGAAAACCCAGGACCCAGTGAGATCAGGAGACCTATCAGCAGGTGGCTGGGGGACATAGAAAGGGTAAAAAGGATCCGTCTAAAACACCTAGGCTGCCCCTACCATGCCTTGAGAAATTGTGGGGAATGGGGTCTTGACCCAGAGCACAGACACTGCAAGGGCTGAAGCCCAGGAGCCTCATGTTTGACCCAGAGGGTCATCTGGGAATCTAGAAGCCTCCACCTTTCTTTCTTCCCGAAAGAAAATGACCAAGTTTTTCAAGTATCCCCAACTCCCCTAAACCTGTTCCTCTCTGTTCTTGTTTCCTGTTCTCAGCCCACCTCCCTGTTTTTTGTTTTGCAGCAAATGACAGTGATCTGCTCATGGAGGAGGGCATGGCATTCACCATAGGTAAAGCTGGGGCTCCTCTTTGAGAGCTGTGGCTCATGGGTGGAAACCGTGGTGCTGGCCTAGGCCAGCAGTCCCTTGAAGGACTAATAAAGCCAATCAGCATAATGAAACAATTCGGATGCATAGTAAATCTGATTAAATAATATCCTTGAGCCCCATCTTCCTAAATCAGATACTTACCGACACATTTAGGGGACGGCAGCCATCCAACCTCTAATTCTGTTACCAGCCTAATGTGGTGTTTGCTTTTTTTGTTTTGTTTTTTCATTAACACCCAGTAACTAGAGGTGATTATGTCCCTTGCTCCCTGTCAGCAAGTGGCATGTGCTCTCTGGTGGCCCATTCCTGGCTGATCCTGCAGTTGGTGTCACCACCAAATTCCAGTCACCTAGGGCCACGAAGGCCTCCTATTTCTGACTGTGGTACTTAATGGAGAAGCAATTAGAGGGAAATAAGAAAATTGTTATTTGCTGATTAATGAACATTTTAAGCATGTTTTAAAAATTCAAATATTTTAAAAACTGACTGGTATTTATAAGAAGGACTGGTGTTTGGATGGTTATTATCCACGGGGTCCTAATTAAGGCTTGATTAAAATGCCCTTCTTTCTCTAAAAAATTATGAACAAGGCAACTTAATACACTTTTTAATGCCGTAGTGCGGCCTCTTCCCACTGTTTAGTTTGTAGTATACTATGTAAGCAGCATCAATTAGCCCTTGCAAGATGACAACGGGAACCGGTGGGTGAAGGGGGGGGGGGCTCTCCCTCCCTCCCTCTCTCTCTCCCTCTCATCAGCTGAAACAATGACAATAATCTGATGAGGTCACTGCAGTAAATATTTTCCCTTTTACAGAGCCAATCATCACCGAAGGATCTCCTGAATTTAAAGTCCTGGAGGATGCGTGGACTGTGATCTCCCTAGACAACCAAAGGTGTTTTGCTTTGGGCCCTGTGCCTTTTAAGGCGTTGAGAAGGGGAGATTGGCGGGAGAGCAGGGCCTTGAGCTACTGCTTGGGCCCCTAGGGCGCTCACAGTGCCCTGACCACCCCCACCACTGCGTGTGTTTTCAGATCTGCCCAGTTTGAACACACAGTTCTCATCACATCGGGGGGTGTGAAGATCCTGACCAAGCTGCCCCATGAAGCCTGAGAAGTAGCCCCAAGGTCGTGGAGACCCGGCGTCATTTTTCCCAATTGCTGGAGAACTTTTAAATGAAAGGGGAAGGGCAGGTCTCCAAGGAACCTACCTGGCCCCAGGCTCGGCCTCCCAGCGCAGGAAACGCATCTGGAGAGGAAGGGGAACAGACACCTTCGTTTGGCATAAGAGGACTCCCTGAGAAGCACAGTTCCCCTGAGCCTTGACCAGACCCTGCTCGAGAGTAAATACCTTCTAAACCCACTGTGTCTGCGTTCCTTGCATCTGACCGTTACAAGGGGGTCGAGCAGAAGTGGTTCTTTTTGAGTCTGAACTTTTTTACAGAATGCACAAGGAAAGAAAAACCAAACCTGTTAGCTAGAGTATTTTAAAAATCTGCCTTATGCACTGCCGGTCCAACATTGGCCAGTTGGCAGGCACTTCCAGGTGCCAGCACCTGCTCCCCACCCCTAGCCCTTCCTTTAATTTTTCCTTCATCCTCGTGGATTTGCCTTGAGATTAACCTGCAAACGGAAGTGCTGATTACATTTTCTTGGCTCTACACCCTGGGCCTGGCCTTCCTACAGGGTTTTACCAATCCAGAAACAAGATTTGCCCCATCTCAGGTGCTTTCGCACACAAAACCACCCTCCTTGGCTCTCCTGGAGACCTTCCTACCCCTCTCCTCCCACCCCCAACCCCAGGGGCACACTGGACCCGTTTGTTACACTGGGAATTCGAGCTTCGGCCCCACTCACCCAGATGTGAACAGCATCTGGCAAGCTGGCCACCTGCATCTAACCCTAAACTGACCTCTAATACTGGCCCTCTGGGGGCTTCCACCCTGGGGCTCCTGGAACTTCAGAGGTTGAGACCACAGCCCTGCCGGTGGACTGGGACTGGAGCTGGCAGCTTTTACCCTGGTTCCAAGGGCTGGTGCTCCAACCCGCTTCAGAAGCAGGAATCTAGCTGGGCCACATGTTTCCTAGGCCCATTATGGCACAGAAGAGCCCTCCCCTCCCTTGTTGCTCTCCAGGACCTGCTCACCACGGGTAAAAGGTGGGGACAGGCTCGGCCTCTAGTCCCTGAAAGAAGCCAGTCCCTCTGGGCATGATTTTAGGAACAAGTTCAGTGATGATACACTGAGACCAGTGGTTTCAATAGCTTTTGTGTCTATTAAAATGGGCTTTGCAAAGTTGCCCCTGGCAAGATACAGTTGGGGATCAAAAGTGCTAAGGAAAGTTGGTACCTGTATTTGCCTTGACAAATAGTGTCAGCTGGAGTCAGGAGTTGACCACATTTGTGACACCCAGAGTGGTGAAGGAGGCAGAAACAGAACAATGAGGGCTTGAAAGTGGGTTCCATGTTTCCCTGAACTAGGGGCTCTCTCAGTGGTCCCCTGACCCTCCAGATCAGATTCTCTGCATCCAGGGATATAGAGTTTGGGATAGAGTGAGTCTGGTTCTAGTGGGTCCAGAGAGCTGGCAAAGATGAGGAAGTGGCTTTAGTAACTCCTTAGGATTTACAAGATCCATAGATACACTTCTTTTTCTTGGTATGGGCGATCAAACTCAGGACCTTGCGCTTGCCTGGCAGGTATGGCAGCGCTGAGCTACATCCCCTGCCCCACAGATAAACTTTTGAGTTGCTCCGGAGTTGACCAGGCAGAGACCCAGAGCCTGAGGCCAGGCATTGCCCCAAAATAACTCCCTAGAGAGGAACGGGGCGCAGTTGGCCTTGGGAGATCTTTGCCAGAGAATGACTTCATTTCTCTCCTAGAGCAATTGGATTGCAACGATTAGCACAGTACCTTTATCTTTAGATAAGTTTACTCCACGGTTCCTTAATGATAGTTTTATTAGGATCACAGGATTTTACCAACCACTGGGGCAACACAGTGGTTGTGCAGCAATTATTTCGAGGTGGAGGTATTTATGGGACAGGCACATAATCCTATTTATTAAAGTGACTAGCCTAAAAATTATATTCTTCATCCAATACAGCCAGTACTCAGCAGTAGTAAACAAACTCGAGTTACAACTCTGTTCAACTCCTTATGGTGTGAAACTTGAAATTAGGAAGTAGGTTTTTAAAGCACCTAGCCTCTACCTCCTCGCCCCTCAGCCCGCTCATCTGACCTCAAACCTAACCCAGGATGCAAGGATTCCAGCCAAGTATGGCTAAACTACCGCCACCAGAGCTGCCGGGTCCTAAGGTGATTCCAATCCATTCTAATCCCGAACGTTCAGATCCGACCGGAGAACTGTGTTTCCTCTGAGTTGGGACAAGCAAAGATCCAAGCAAACCAACACCTGCTCTACAGGTGCTGCATTAGAGATGTGGGGTGGTGGGAGGGAGCCATTCATAGCTCGTACAGTGGAGATCCCAACACTGAGAAACTAGCTTCCGCGGCTGCACCGCGCTGGGGGGACCGGCTCCACGCGTCTCACTAACCTGTTTCTTTAGTAAGAAATGTCTGGGGTTAGACACACGTTCGCCTACACACAATTCAATTCTAAATTAAGCAAGCCCCTGAAACTTTATCCGAGGGAGTGCATGCCGGACCTTTGTTCTCTGGAGCCAGCCAGGTCCCCTGCACCGAGAAAATGCCCCCACCCCCGACGTGGAAGGATGAGCACCCAGGAGACTCGCGACGTGCGACCGTCTCTCTTCCCTTCCCCCACCTTGCCCTTCTCTGGGAGAAACTGGCCCTTGGCCGCCGGGCCCCGGATTCCCTCATGCCTTGCCCAGAGCTACCAGAGACGCCAGTGCCACTTTCCCCGGTCCCAACCTCTACCCCGCGCCGGCCGCAGCGATCACTTACGTGGGCAGGGCCCGCTAGGCACGCGCGGCAGACCTGGGGCTCGGGCAGCTTCCCAGCAGCTGTGCTGGGCGCACAGGACGGCACTCCATACCCCAAAACAGGCGCTAGGAAGGAGCAATTAAAACCACAAGTGCGACAGAGAGATCGAGACGAGCCTAACGCCTTCCAGGAGTCGTCTAGTGGCAGAGTCAAGTACCTGGTTGTTGCTACAAAGCTTCACCGTGTGGTTCGGTAATTAAAAAAAAAAAATTTTACCCATTGGCAAACCCGTTATTGGTTTGGAAGGTCGGGTTGTTGGGAGTGTTGCTGCTTTTTGTTTTTCTCTTTTGCTCCAAGCAGGCTGCCTGAAATATTTCTGCTCCCAGCATAGCGCCCTTCAAACCAAAAGAGAGAAATTCCGCCGAGCAGGCGCTGCTGCTACAGAAGTTTAAAAAGAAAGAACCCCCTGTAATATCTGTAACGACAGCACCGATGTAATTTGTTTTGAATGTTCATTTTTATTGGTGTTCCTTCTGCCAAAACGTGCTTGATTACAGAGGTTTGTCCTGTGATCATTGCGCACTCCAGACAGGGGAAGGTGCAGCGCGAAGGTTCAGCTCAGGCCAGATCAAATCCCGGGCTGTTTAACGCTGAAAGGCTGCATGTTGCTATTAGTGTTAAATATATGGCTAATTATGCGTATGAAAATTAAACATCAGTGTTATGCTAATGGGGCGCCTTCAGCTGCGGATCTGAGCACTTGAGACTACCATTTAATCAAATGAATCAGTAACTAATACATCTGCACGTGTGAACTTTCACAAGATCATTTCCCCGTTCCCGTCACACCGCTAAATTATGAAAGAAATAATTATCAACACTTTCTAATTACCTAACAAAGTAATTTGGGATTCACCGTGGGGCTGGATGGATGGGGAACCAACAGCCCCTAGCAACCAGCGAAGCGTGCGCCACGCCGCGTGGGGGTCGCTGTGTGGTAGCAGTGGCGGGGCGGGGGCCATTTGTGCACTTTTCTGTACCTAGCACCCCAGAAGATAGAAGGCGCCGCGACAGCTCTGTCCTGCACCAGCCCTCCCCCCAGGCCTGGCGGAGCCAGCTTCGGCCACTGGAGGTGAGGAAGAAACTGGGTCACAGAGACGCGTCTTTACACAGATATTTTTGCCTACCACGGGCCTGGTGCTGCTACCAGTTTCGGTGTCCCCAAGGGCTCCTGAGCCCCGGGTACTCCCGCCAGACCCCAGGAGGAGGGAAAACAACCACCTGGGACTGCCGCTCCGGTAGCACCGGGCGCGCTGGGCCCTGGACTCCACGCTGCGCCGCGCCCTCGGGGCCAGTGCGCCCGGGGGCGCGAGGCTCGGAGGGAGTGGAGAGGGGAGGGGGAGCGCAGGAAGGTTGGGAGGGAAAGAGGGTGTGTGTTGGGGGTGGGAGGCGGTACGGCCGCCTTTCCTGGGAGGAGAAGCGCGGGTTCCTGGCTCTCCAGGCGCACTGCTTTAATCAGACCCGTGCAGCCTCGAGCTGGAGTGGCCAACCCGGCCTAGAGCGATGCAAGCGGGGCCCTGGGAGCGGCAGCGGCGGCGGCGGCGGCGGCGGCGCGGCGGCCGAGTGAGTTGGTCTGGAGGGCCCCGAAACCCGGGCCCCAGGGATGTGGCACCGCGGACCTAGGCCCGGGGAGGGAGGCCTGGCCAGGAGGGCCCTGGGCTGGGCGCGGGACGTTCAGAAGGACCGCTGGCTGCTGGCTGCCCTAGGCTACCCCGCCCCCCAACGCGCGACTCCGCCATCCAGAGGCCGCTACCAGAACCACCCTAGATCAGCACCGGCCTGGGTGGAGGCGACCAGAAGCAGTTCCAGGGTCCCCGGCCTTGGGGACGGGTGAAGGGTGGAGACGGTAGAGGGGACGATGGGGAGCACTGGTTGGTTTCTGGGGGGGAGAGCGCGCCAGGGAGGCGGGAGGCTGAAGAGCAGGCCTCAAAGGTCCCGGTGCGGCTGCTGCAGCCCATTGTGCGTCCTGCACCTCGCGCTCTGTTGCAGAGGAGCCCCGGCCGGGAAGTACCGACGCGTCTCTCCCGAGGCCGGGCCGCCTCGTCCGCTCTAGTCCAGCGGAGCCAAAGCGACTCGGACCAATCCCCGGTGATTATGCAAGACGGCGGACCAATCAGCTCCGCCAGCTCATGAATATTTATGACCTTGGCTGAGTCAAAGCTTTGAACCGAGTTTGGGGAGCTCGGAGCATCATGCTTAGACTTTTCAAAGAGACAAACTCCATTTTCTTATGAATGGAAAGTGAAAACCCCTGTTCCGCTTAAATTGGGTTCCTTCCTGTCCTGAGAAACATAGAGACCCCAAAAGGGAAGCAGAGGAGAGAAAGACCCACACCCAGACCCCGCGAGAAGAGATGACCATGACCACCATGCCAGAAAGTCTCAACAGCCCCGTGTCGGGCA